CATGTTCTTTTTTCCAGTGGAGTGATGAGCTGTTCTGTTTATTTAGAAAAAACAATGTCTGTTTTATTAAACTGAGGAACTGTGTAAATATGTGTGCTGAGCTTTGACAGTGATAACACACACCGACACAAGGTATATGTCAGCTTTTTATAAACATTGTCTGTATATTTTGTAAGTTTTGTCTTTGTTGTTTTCCTTTTAATGATACGGGCTAATTTTGTCTGAAATTAAACAATAATAATAAACAACAAAAAGATAAGAAAAAGAAAAACAGTGCAGGAAGACAGGAAGCCCAGATGTCCCAGTTTTACACTGGGATTTCAAAGCAGCTTACATTTGTTGATCTGTACGAAGCTCACAGCGGGAAAATTTGTGTCAAAATCCTGCGTGGACATGCGACATCGTCTCTGCGTATCAGGCGATTGGTGCACACACACCTGGCGTGTAGTTTTAGACTTTTGTATGCACAGAAGAGCTTTTGAGGGAGAAAAATATCCGATTCGTGAAGCTGGACTTAAATAATTAAACGTAAATAATCACTATTTATGATTTTTAATTGATAAAGTCATTTGTAAAATACGTGTGATCAAAGTGCTTCGTTTGTGGGTTGGAGCATGAGCCTGTGAATCCTCAAAAGTTACACACAAATCACTGCACATATATGTGAATCTTAGTTTATGCTTGTGGATTGTATCATATACATTCGTGTTACCTTATCGTAGCAACAGTACAGCAACACAACAAAGACTCAAATCAAATTTAAAAAGTTTAAGAGTGATCTTGTATCAAAATGTAAAATAGTCAGAAAAATGTGTTCTATTTTTGTGGACGTCTACACAAATGCACCTTTTTTGACATCACAACTTTGAAACTGCTCACTGGAATTATGTTTTGTACGTGCAGCATTTATGCTCTTGACTTATTATTGGTTTCCCTGGAAACACAAACCATGATCATTTTGTAACCCCAAGCAAGTAATATATTTCTTAAACCTAGTTGATTAGTTTTTATTTGGTAATTTGAATGTTTATAACCAAATACTTCTAGTATTGCATCGCTCCAAACATCTAATTCTAAATGCCTAAATGTAATCAAGTAGATGTTTTTTGTGTTAATCTAACTATAGTTTAACAAAAAACAAATTAAAACATAACTGAAGTGCAGAGAATATAAAGAAATGAAAAACACAAAAGAGAGTTTTAGAAAAAAGGTATAAAAATGCGTTCTGTGTTGGGCCTCGCTGATTCACACCCTCCTGTTTCCAAACGTGAACATCTCTGCCATCATCTTTTTCCTGATTAAAACAGGAATCAGGTTCACAAGTCTATAGATTAAATGTACTGAGTATGAACTATTCCACAAACTTATGAAAGAATACAGGGAAATTGGAAAAATGTTTCATATCTCTACCAACCAACCTGCAACCAAGAAAATGCAACATCAGTGCAAATTTATACCAAAGAAACTGGAAAAAGGTTGGGTTTGAAAAGGAAACCTCTAAACCTCCAGATGCTAGATTTTGAAAGAACTTCAGGATACATCAACAGAAATTAGAACGGGAGGATACAAATCAATGAAAAACTGGTGTTAGGGTTTGTGCCCCGGATTCTGAATTAATAACCAATTAAACGCTCAAAACTGTAGTGGGACTGTCTTACACACATCCAAAATTTGCAATTTATTTCAAATTATTACCCAGGTAAAATAAGCATTGAACGTGTCGCCAGTTTTCAAAGTAAATATATTTCTAAAGGTGCTCTTGACATTAAATTCCCATCAGATATCAGCAACGACCCAGCCAATCCACACGTGCAAAGAGATGTCCATAAATTAAGCTACATGTAATAATGCGAAACAAAAACCCTTCTATGGACTCTGAGTTTTGGTCCTTTCTAGATTTTCGGATGGATTCAGGTCATGTGATTGGCCGGACCGAGTGTCAGGATTGCTTTCTAATTACTGATAGATTTCACTCATGTCATGACTTTCCGGGCTTTTTTGCACTTCCCTTTCCTCTTGAATACAGCACTCCTGGGCCAGCAGGTTTGTCTGTACTTCATTAGAGATGCACTGCACTGAAGTGTTGTATACTTATGCAGTATACTACACGGTGCAGAGTGACAGAAAGAGCCAAGTCGCAGTGAGTTCTAAAGCCATCTTCCTGGTATGACTCTCAGAGCGCAGTGGTAAAAAAAACATCTAAGGGCGAAGTGCAGTCGATGGCTGTTGGATATAAATATTATCGTCAAGTACGCGGATAATTGCAGACTGAAGCTCATGCATGAGAGAAAACAACTTCTATGCGTCTGCATCGTGGCGTGTATGTTTTTCTTCTGAGTTTTCATTTGCTACTGTAGCAGTAATCTTGGGAGGCCAAGGTGTGAAACAGGGTGTGGGTCCCAATGAGCTCACCCGAAACTCTGGCTGATTGGGACCCACACCCGGTTTCACACCTTGGCTCAGGTGATTAGAGGATCATCAGGGGGTCCTTTTGTCCCTCTGTGGGGGGAAACTCCCACTAGGTTTATATCTGGGACTCTCCACCATTTGACCTTAGAACTGAAGAAGCTTCTCGGATGAGAGGTGAAACGTCTTCAAGCAACTTAAAGAAGTCCAGACGCTTTTCTTTGCAAGCTCTTTTAACAGTGTGTGTTTATGATTTTTTTAGTATATAATGGAATGTTTTTGAAACTGTGATGCCGAAAGTAAAAGGACGTAAGCAGGGCTAAAGTTTGAAGTGTAGTGCGGCCTCGTCTGTTGTACGGTATATGTAATACATCCATGGAAGTAGTTAAAAGAGAATAAAATATATTTAAACTGCATAGAAAACATTCCATAAAGGCTTTATGAAGACACTCTCTAGCCTTTAGCAAAGCATTGTTTTACATTCTCGCTTTCTGATGCACAAATTTAAAAAATGTAGCTTTTATCTTGATCCAGTCTTTTTAAAATTTCTCCAGTCTTTCAGTTTTCCTGCTCATTGTCATGTTCCCTTTGTTGCTTTTGTCTTCAGCTGGCTGCTTTATAGCTTTCAGATCCCCATGCACAGTTGTATATACATTGTTTACATTTCTACATAAATATCATAAAAAAAACTCCCTGTACTGTGTCTTTTTGCAGTATGGCAGGCAAAGATATTGTGTATTACAGTCATGATCAGTAAAGTTTAAAAGTGAAAAACTGTATATTTAAATGATATTCATAGATTCATGAAAGAACGTTTACAGTGTGTCTGTTTGTTTTTCCGATGTCGGATTTTTGTATAATGTTGCTGCAGCCATCTAAGAATATTCATAACAGGTTTCTGTGTGAAGCAGAGCTCACCTTCTGCATATTTATGTAATCGTGACTTTTTTAAATACTTAAAACTTTAAAACACATTTTGTGAAAGACATCAAGAATGTCAGTGAACAGTTTCAGTATGCATTTACTCACACTGTTTCATTGCACCACTTCATTACACAGGTCTAGAGACTGGTCAGCAATACCTTGGTCAACCGACCATCAGTAGGGAAAAGTGTGTATTCTCTGACTAGCTGGCGAGTGGATGCGCTTAGATGGATGTGTGAAATCAATAACATGGACTGTGCTGCACCATAAACCTCCTTGTAATTACTTTGGTTGCTTGCAGACTGCTGATGTAAACTGTAGTTTGCATGGAAGATGGCGACTTGACAGCAAACACTTGCTAACTCGTGTGAAACTTGTGTGATGGAAACCGGAAATGTTGAATGTTGCAGAGTGAAAGTTTGGCCTTACAGCTGAAACCAACATGTTTCAAAAGACACAACTTTTGCTTTGAAGGTGAACACTTCCGCTCCCTTAAGGCCAAAACAGAGAGAATGAGGAGGAGCTTCTTCCCCCAGGCTATTCGGGCCCTGAACCAGGTGTAGGACTGGAGTCTCCCACACACGCCACTATAAGACTGGACTCTCACACACGTCACCACACGCACCACCACACATTTCCTATAATCCTATAATTTATAATCTTTATAATCTCTTCTGCTATTTGCACATTCTTTACTGTAAATTCCTAAGTTACTTTGTAAATTTTGTAGTAACCTGTAAATTGTAAATATTGTAAAACTTTTCTTCTGTCATTTAGTGGTCGGGCATTGTACAGCTACAAGCATTTCACCCCCATGTCATACTGTGTATGGTTGTGTGTGACAAATAAAATTTGAATTTGATTTTGAACTGTATCTGTGTTCAGTTTGTGTCACACTCCTCATGGTTTAACTTAGTAGGTAGTTGGCAGAAATGACACCATCTTCAAACAAAGTACGGGAAACTGCATCAACTACAGCAATCTGCAGGCCACCAGTGCATTCGTAAGACGGTTATTGGTGAAGCACTGTATACCTCTTTGCAACCAGTTTCACCTACCAACAAGAAGAAACTACTTCCAACAACTACTGGTCAGGAAATGGTCTCATTCTTTCTTAGTGACCAGTGGTTATCACTGACCAGTCTCTAGGCATAGTGATTTCCAGCAGCTACCTGCAACCTGCTGAAAAATACTTGTTTGTCCTAGTGATCCGTGGTTGCTGACTGGTCTGCAGGCATGTGGTTCTGGGTTTTGATAGGTGGATATATTATATTGACCCTTGACAAATGATTTAAATAAAAATGTGCATATTTTGCTTTAATTATTGAAAAAGACAGTTAAAAATAATCCAGTTCATTTTTCTATCTTCAAAATGACCAGGAGCAGTGGTCAGCTCTTGGGTGGTACAGTATGAGTTCACTGATAACATGTGTCTGCATTTACTCAAGTATGTCTACATCGGGTTATTAATGCTGCAATCCATGCCTGGATTATAAATACAGCAGCAGTGACCGTAATAGTCCTGCTGGGGTTCATGTTGCCATGAGCACAAAAGGGACTTAATCAAGTCTGTGCTCTTTCCCCTCCAACACTGAATTCTCAAGAGGAGTCTTTTAATTGCAGCAAGTAATTCACCAAGTGTTCATCAGACCTTTCTGATTAAATTTCAGGTCAACAGACTACGGAGCAACGTACCAGAAGCTGAATGACAAAGTAGGAGCAAAGACAATACTCAGTTATTTGTACGTGAGCCCCAACAACAAGAGAAAGGTAATGGTCCTCTTTTGTCATTTCTTCTGTATCCTATTTTAAAAATTGTCTTGACTGTATGAGTTACTTTTGTTTGCTCCTCACGGTTGGCATGCCAGTCACACAGTATGCAGTATTGAATGCATGCAGACATATTGATGTGGTCTGACTCACTGGTCTCGGTTTGATGTCTCTTCTCTGTCGCTGCCTACAGTCTCAGTAAGAAGCACTGAACTCACTCATTTATTAACAAGTTCAAACCAAAATGACGGTTAGCTGACAGACAGGAACAATCTCTCCCCGTTCTACATGGATATAAATCGATTAGAAGTCAGACAACCCCTTCAATCAGTGCCCCTGCCCTTCCTTTGGTTTGGGTCATTTGATGGTATTAACCACCTGTCTGTGTTCACACTCGCTTTACATGACTCCCTTTACACAACTCTAATCAGGACGTTTTTCAGTTAATTACCATCTAATTATGAAAAGGGAATGCAGCCCCAATTCATTTCAGATGCTGGCCATATGATATAGGTTGTTGGGCAGTGACTGTTACGCCCCTAAGGTCTGTTAAAGGTGCTGAACCAGATGATGAGATGATGAACCTGAACACAGAGAGAGACATCCAGGACTCAGCAGAAAGGCTTGAATGTCCTTCTGTTATCGTCAGCAAAGCATTAAGAGACTTTCTCTGACCGTGGGATTTTCTACAGCATAATTTAGTGAGAAATTTTTGAGGAAATGGTAAATGGCCTGCATTTGTATAGCGCTTAGGAAAACAACTACAGATCAGTCTGTCTTTGTTAACACACAAACCTGGGGAGTCTGGAGACAATCTGCAGGATATGACCCCTGCTCCACCAGACAAGATCTCTTTATACTGTATATGAAAACTCCTTCACCAGAATTACCACTGGTGAGGATATTCTCCTGTTTTGGACACTCAAATAAAACCCTTACAACATAAATACTCCGAATCCCCCAAAAATAATTCAGCATCTAGTTTCTGAGAACATGTTGCAAAAAGCAACCTTAATACTAACCCTAGACGCCACACCATTGACCTGGCACATGTTAGCATGTAAAAAGCCCAACCTTTCATTCTAAAATCCACTGTCATCTACAGGTTGGTCTACAGTGGCAACAAAAGAACCGAAAATCTTAGAAATCAGAGTCTGAGAATTGCAGCTTATGACTTTTATCAAAATATCTTCAGGCTATGACTTCCTGTTGATCTAGTGATGCTCCAGAAAAACAAATTTATCATATTCTGTCCTAAGATCCCTACATCCCACAGTCCGTATCTCGACTTGTCTTCGTGTTATATAGGTCAATATGAGAAATGACAGCATTTACAGACAGTTTTTGCAACCTTACACTTTTGAACGATCGGTGTAGAAGCTCATCATCGTAGAGTAAATGTGATAATTGGCTTTCCCATTTTTCTTTCTGCTTCAGAGATGCTGGAAATTTCCAATGATACCGTTTGACTAGATGTCATCTGTCTACCCCTCTATATCTGCAAAATTCAATCAATACTGATAATCACAGCAAAACAGGAAATTCTTACTGACCACAATACTTAATCAATGAAAGACACAAAAACAGGAAAAAGAAAATGTGGTCCAGGAATAAGGAGAAAATTTAGCTTTCATCTGATGACAAAATACATGATGGGAAGTTATCAATCAGGCATAAGCAGTATATAGTACCTCAAATTAAAAGCCCTTTGCCAGAACTGTTGCATTGCCTTCTGGCAAAAGCAAATTATTTGTCCTTGCAGCCCTATGCGTTTTAATAGTTTTTTTCAATAAAGTCAACCAAGTCAAATACATTGGATGGGCCTAGTTTTCCTATAAAGAGCTGAGTTGCTTTATCCCTTTAAACGTAGATGATGAACTGAAGCTGAACGTGGATGTTTTCAGCCTAATCATTGGGAGCTGCTTGGATATAAATCATAGGTTTTCTCAGCTGGTTTAGGGTTGGATGGGGTTGCTGAGGCAAGCTCTCTATACAGGCTTAAAATATATTAGAGGTAGCACATCAGCAAATGGTCAGAGTTAACCACTTTTCTGTGCTCAGGTCTATTTGGGTCAATTTTGCCAGGTTCCATTATGGCTTTGGTCCATTAGGGTTTTGGGCATCTCTGATTGTGTGTTTGTGTATTTCTATGTTTTAAATTTTGTTTTGTCCATGGCTATTTTGGGTTTATGAAACACCATAATTAATCCACACATTTTTGCCAGACCCTAAATATCCATTTTTTCTCTTGTCTTTATTTGTCACATCCATCTAAATGTTAGTGTAACAACAACACTAGACTAGTGATTACCGTTTTAAGTTCCCCATTCTAAGCATGTCTGTTTGGGACTTGGTTTAAGTAAGCTGTAAAATCTCTTCTTCTTGCATGTTTGTATTATTCATGCTTTTACGATACATATTTGGCCAACTATGGAGTCTTTATGACGTGCCTCTTATTTGCATCAAAATGAGTGGCAGACTGGGGTAGAAATGTTCGTATTAGCAAGGCTATCTTCTGTTTTATTGCTTGTAGAGTGATGGGATCTGGGCAAACCCAAAGAAGATGTCTCTAGTGATGCATCAATGCAGAGAGACATCACAGAAACATTTCAGTCCACAGAAACCAGCAATCACCAGTTTCACAGAGCAGAAAACAGATGAAGGCCAGCAAATAACTTGACATGTTGCTAATGTCACACACGCATTGCGACACACTTTCTACCACAAAGCCAAAATGTCAGTCAGCCATACAAACCATCACGTGCCAGATATACACAAACATGAGCCTAAATAAGCTCTTTCACACAAAGTCACGCATTCATATATTCTTTGTCTCACACTTACGCTTTTTTCTCTCACACATCCATAGTATCACCATATTGCCAAAATATGACGTGTAAAATAAAAATGCTACTGAAAGCGTCCTTGTCAGTCTATAGAGAGTTTATTACATGCAAAACATACTAGTAATGTTGAGCAGAGGAAAAATGACTTGGTAAACTAGGCTTTGTGTCATCTGCAAGATGTAAAGTAGAATTTGAGAGCAGTATGCTCATTGCGGTCATTGATAATGTTAGGCAAGCTGAGGCTAGCAAAACACATCAAATTCACTTTTTATCTGTCAATAATGTAACATAGAATTCATAAGTGAATGGCTTAAGACTACAGATTTTATAGATTCAGATTGCATAGACACTCTTTAGCCCAAGCAATGGGTGTTGGACATCACTGGGTGTTTTATTCTCCTTGAAATAAGGAGACTACACTACACATTTATAGAGCATATCTATAAGTTTTTAATCAGGAAATGAAGATTTTCCAACATAATTGTTAATCGGGAACAAAGAAGAAGGAGAGTTTTACACTGCATTTCTGTGGGAACAATCAGTGATTCAAACTGGATTCCACATAAACTGTTTGTTCTGCTGTGTGTTTGCTCACTTATCCAACTGAGGGTCATGGGGGGATTGGAACCTGTCCTAGCTACTGTAGGCAGGACCGGTCACTGACTTGATGCAGGGATAACACAGAGAGACAAACTACTATTCAAAAACATACACATGTATGCACAATTAAGAACTAGATGTCTTTGGACTGTTGAAGGAAGCTGGAGTACCCAGAGAGAACCCACTTGCACATGTGGAGAAAATGTAATCTCCACGCAGAAAGGCCCCGGTGGATTCGAACCCAAAAAATATTCTTTCCAAGAAAATCATAATCTAGTGGGTTATTAAAAGTTTCTTATATCACACATGGTGGCCAGCACGGTTCGCAACTGAGACTTCTGTTGATAAATCCCAAAGTGCTTGAGTACTTGCTTATGCTATGCTATGCAAATGTGCAGATGGTAACTGATCTCAGAGCAGTGAAAGCAGAGCCAGTAGCAACTTTTCTAGCATGTTAATTTCCTGTTAGTTTCTCGTAACACTGGAGGTTTATCCACAATGCACAGAGTACCAGGAAAAAGACCTGCTGGCCTCTAAGTTAGCCCAGCTCAAACTTTTGTTAATGGGCCACAGACACACCAATGAAATGAACACATACTTAAGTGGAATTGGATGGAGTCAAACCTCCTTCATGCAAACTGGGACCACAGTTGGCACTGATAGACGATGAGAAAAACTTACTGGACTGAACACTGTTTGAGACGTAAGGAGAGAGATTTGGTCTTAATTTATATTTTAAGATGAAACTGGGCAAGCACTAACTGCCTTGCTTGCCCCGGGGCAATGCTACTGATTTGAGATATCCTAAAATACAGTTAATGTGTAAGATGTAATTGATGTGGGGCGAGTAGTCAGTCACTTTTGCAGCACATTAGCAACATGAATGGTAGGTTTCCTTTTGTCAGTCAAATCTACAAGTCTGCATTTAGAATTGGCTTGTAGGATGCTCACTTGAGGCTTTGGATCCAGCCTCAAGTGGACAGCAGAGGAACTGCAGCTTTGGCAGTTTCTTTCATTTCTCACATCAGATCCTGGACATCACTGCCCTGGATACCATTTTCATTTTATTCAGATAAGACACAAGACAGTATTCATGATGTCATTGTGAAATAGGGCAATTATCCTGTCATGAGCTGATACAAGAGAGCATTTATCTTGCTTAGATAATATGTCTGAACCAAATCTAATTGCAGTCGATTCAATATTTGTTGTAATACTTCATCCTGATGGTAGCATTAGGCTGACATATAGCAGGATAGACTGACATTGTTATCTACTGCTAGCGTCGCTAACATTAAATAAAAAACGAGTGGAACCAGAGAAGAAGCAACTTTCTCTATAAAGCACTCCAGACTCAAACTGTTTTTTCCTCCATTGTTGCTGTTTCCACATACTTGGAAAGTAGGGAAGCAGTAGAGACTGCAGGTTCGTCAGTCACCCCGGGCACAGCACCATGTGACTACTGCTGGTGGCAGACAAAAGCCCCTCTCTTCATCAAGTAGTGGAAGTAAATCAGGCCTGTGTGGCTGTGGGGGATAGTGGGAGTAAAGCAGT